GTAGGGAAACTCTCCCCCTGTACCAAAAAGAAGGTGGCCTGATCCACGCTGTCTAATGGGAGCAAACTTGCCATCACTCAAAGCAGAAAAAGCTGCACCAAGGAGCAGCAGGAAGGTGATCCCAGGCAGTGCGGAAGACGGCATCCTGACAATCCTGACCCTGCCTTGCTAACTAGTACAGGCACAGCCTTGCATTTTGTAGGGAGACCTTGGCAAAACCACATCAGTTCTTTATTCCTCAGATATCTGCTCCAAAAAGTAAGAGTATTGCCATCGTCTTTCCCCATTGTAGCATTCGGCACTCTGGAATGAAAATCATTATGTGAAAACCGAGGTCAGATCCGTCAAGGTATTTAGGGGTCTTGGAGTTAAGGTGATGTATAATGGCACCTGGCTTGTTCAGATTTCATAAAATCTATTTGTCTCTCTGCTTTCTTAGGAGCTACAAATACCTCCATAAATCTGGCCTGCAGTACTGCTAGCTGGCTAAATCCTGTTTCCAACTAAGTCATTAGCTGCTCGATTTCATTAACCTTACAGAAAAAGTACATTTCCCCTGTGTCCCCATTCCCCAAATCACCCATTTCTCAGAGCCTTCTCCACACATCTCCAGCCTCCCCACTTCTTTGAGCTCTCTCATGTCCTCTCTTGCACTTACAGATGCTGTTGTCAGCCCATTAGATAGTGTAAAAAAACCCCTCATTTGCAGAATCAAATCAAAGACATCATTGCACATGTTGGCTTTTTCCAAGCTTTCCTTGAACCCCATTCCCTTTCAAAGCTCAGTCCTTGCCTTCCCTGTTCCTCATGGTCATGTTGAAAATGAATGAGTAGCCACAAAATCCCTCCAGTGATGGCTACTTCTGAGAAGCAAAGGCAACAATACCCTGGGCTGGAGCTGGTGCAGAGGAAGAAGCCAAAACTAGCACAAAACTAGGGCCGACAGCTGACACAAGTCTTCCGAGCTGTTCAGACTTGTTGCTGCCTGCAGCAGGCTTTTTCAATCTACTGCGGAGGCAAAATTAATTTTTAATACGCATAGCTCCCAGGTCCTAGTCCCGAAACAAAGAGGCACATTGTGTTTTATTTAGCTTGGAATGTGTCTCATTAACAGCATCCCCTGGTGATTTTTCATCAACTCTCTAAGCTAGCTGAACCACCCAACGACTCTTCGGCTTTAATGTGCAATTTACTGAAAACGCTGGGCCTTCTTGCTCGATACTCAAAGTTAGCACAGAGGTGGGACATGACTTCCAAACACAGCAGGCCCCATCCCAAAGGATGCAGCCATGGTTAAGGATCCTGCTCTGCAAGAGATCCTGACACCATTGTCATTAAATGGTCTAATACCACCATACCCCACAACCTCCTGAGACCCTGTGCTTTGACATTGAGAGCCAAAGGGAAAATACTGGTCTGGGGGGGGGGGGAGTAGCAAGCTCTCAAAATAACTGAGCAACAGATATGAAATCACAGCTGAGGTCTGAGCTTTCCAAGTCTTGCTCATCTTAAGTGTGGAGGGCTGTCCTAGACCTGAAGGGATGTCTTTTCCTGGAACCAGCTGTGCCCATGGGAGGTATTCTTACCCACGGTTACCTGTCAGTGCAGACTGTTAGCTGCCACCCTGCAGCTTGGAGGGTAACACCAGAAGAAGCCAGCATAGGGTCTTCTGACACAATCGTGTCTTCTGACTGTGTGGCTTAAATGCAGAGACAGTTTAACCTGGACCCAGATTTTTGATTCAAAGACTTCTTCGGTCACCTAGTCTATGCAGTGCCAGACTGATGAGTACCTTGATGCACCTAGTTTTAAGGGACAGAAGGAGCATCCTAATAACTTGTCCTGACATGCAATCAGACATACAGTATGACAGATAATATTTCAACATATTCTCCGTGATACTAAGTCTGAAGTTTGACTCCCCTCAAAAGTTGAGTTCTTTATCAACACTTCTATCCTTGCTTGGTGGTTACCTTGAAAGTATAGTTTTCTTTCTCCACCCCAGTCAGGTTGTTAATTACATGCCCTTTAAAGATCACCTCCACATAGTACAAACTCTCCTGGGGTGAAGACCTAGGTGGAAGAAAATGTGTTATATTATTTTTATACAGATTGGGTTTATCTTTCAGGAAATGTCAGGTCCTTCACAGGGTCTCCATTCTTAGCAGGTCCACTGAGGCTTCCATAGAGCAAAAAAACTTTACACTGTGAACCCAAATTTTACACATATGAACCCAAACTCTAAAACTACAATTTAAAAGCAATGTGGAGGCACAGCAAGAAATTACAGTTAAGTGCAGAAAGTGATAGGACTACATCAGAGCTCTATCCAAATTGTACCAAATGAAAAACACAGACATGCTCATTAGTGTTCATTAATACTAATGAATAATTGTTATTCATTAGTATTAAAATAACCCAGGGCTGCCTGGATTTACAGGGCATCTTGATCCTGGTTTGTAAATTAACGCTGCATCCTTAATGCACACAGTTTCTCAGCACAGCATTCAGCAGAATTAACTCTCAACCAAATCATAGCAGCAAGAGATGGAAGAGCCCCATTAGGGTCACTTTTACAGCCTCTTGAGCTACCCCTAGTCTTTCAGTCAACCTTCTTCAAAGTTATGACAGGATGGAAAAGAGGGAGCTTAAGTTTCCCAGCTGGTGCTTGAAACCATATCTGTTTCTTACTCCATCCATAACCTCTCTCTATGATCTTGGACAGGTCAAAGACACCAGCAACCGGTTAAAAAAAAAAAAAACAAAACCAAAAAAACAAAACCAAAACAAAACAAAAACCCACAACATAATTTCTTGGGAGTTTTGCATCTAAGAATTAGATGTCTACAAACCTTTGATGCTCTGAGTCTAGCCTCTCCAAGAAACCTCACTCTGACTCTCATGCTAGATAAACTAGTGCTTCATTAAGTTGAAGCAAAGATAAATGCAACACATCTTAAGAGATGCTCAGGTGCAGCCACAGTAACAGCCATAGGAATTCCTTAAACTCCCAAACTGTCTGTACAGACACTGAAAGAAAATGAGGATCCTACCAGACAAATGGCAAGGTCTCACCCATACTATAGTCGTGTCATACCTTGTTCTGCATCTTATAGTGTGTAAGTCCAAATACAGAGGAGAGATATCACACGGCAATGTGGGCAGGTCAGGATTCACCAGGAACACCTCCAGCTGGGACACGCTGGCTGAAGAGATGCCTTGTAGCTGGTGGGATGTTGAGCCTAAGTAATCAAAGTCAACCAGAAGAGCTCTGTGAGGACAGGATCACTCACATTCAGTCACACATGACAAATATTTTAAAAGTGCAACCCAGCTTCTCTTTAGGTTGCTATGCTTAGAGCCTTTAATCAATCAATTTTAAATCGTGTATGTGTAATTTCATATTGTCGTGGTTTAACCCCAGCTGGCAACTAAGGACCACACAGCCACTCATTCACTCCCCTCCTCCTCTGTGGGATGGGGGAGAGAATTGGAAAGGTAAAAGTGAGAAATCTCATGGGCTGAGATAAAAACAGTTTAATAATTAAAAAGAAAATTGTAAGGAAAAGAGAGAAAAAATAATGAAGAGTGTGGAAAATAAAACCCAAGACAGACAAGTGATACAAATGAAAACAATTGCTCACCACCAACAGACAGATGTCCAGCCAGTCCCCAAGCAGCAGCCTCCCTGCGAAAGTCCCCCCTAGTTTTACTGCTGAGCATGACATCATATGGTGTGGAAAATCCCTTTGGTCACTTGGGGTCAGCTGTCCCAGCTGTGGCCCCTCCAACTTTTTGTGCACCTCCAACCTACTTGCTAGCGGGGTGGTGTGAGAAGCAGAAAAGGCCTTGACTCTGTGTGAGCACTGCTCAGCAGTAATGAAAACATCCCTGTGTTATCAACACTGTTTTCAGCACAAATCCAAAACATAGCACCATACAAGCTACTATGAAGAAATTTAACTCTATCCCAACCAAAACCAGCACACATATTAAGACCAAGTTCATGCCACCATGCAGTTGCACTGCTCTAATACAATACTTGGTCTCTTCCACATGTACTCTGCTGCAGAGACTGACAGTTACTGGAAGTTTGAAACACCTCAGCCATCTACACTGGAAAAAACACCATGCCCATGGATACTTAAAGCACCTGCAAAATGAATGCCATTTGACACAGTCTTTGCAGTTGCTAATATCTTGCATAGTTTTGTTGACAGGACCTCAAGCTGGCCTGTGCTATAAGGTGGATCTGCTTAGCCCATTTCTTTAGAGTGAGTTTTCCAAAGGATCAAAGACTTTTAATCTTCAGAAAGTCAAGCTTTATCTGAACATAAACTAGCATGCTAAACTTCTGTAGCATAATCAAATACAACTAGAAATGAAGGCTTACAGACAACTCTCCCTTGGCTCACGATCTTCACAGGTGGTTCCCAGTGCACAGACTCACTTTCAATGACATCAGTGGTTTCTTGATTTACAGCAAACTGCACGTTTCCTCGTGGTCCCGGGAAAGTTTGTCCCCTTCTCCCAAGGCCTGGCTGTCTTCCCCCCCCCCCAAAAAAATATCCCACTCTGCTTGAACCGTGATCTGCCAGCTGTGACTGACTCTGCCTGCCACACAGTGCTGTTGGCAAAACATCTCCCTTGAAGACCTGAGCTTCCTTTCTTCCCTCCATTTCATCACCTCTATGGGAACACACAATATGCAGATAAATAAGACTGATACCATTCATCATAGTTATAAACGACACTGTCAGAACTTGAGCAGCTAAACCAAACATACACCTGTCCCAGAAACCAACTCTCTTCCTAATAAATCAATATTCACCACTGCTTAAAATCAGGGCTAGCTTTGTACACTTGGTTTGGGTTCACATGAGCATGGCATATCAATTTCTGTGATTTTTACTGGTATCTCATGTTTACCATTAGTGTTTTTAAAGCTCCAGGATCAGAGGACATATGAATAGAGGAGACTCTCAGCTTTCCTTCAAAAAAATGGTGGCCGGGAAAAAATTTCTAGCCCTAGGTCTACAAAAATAAGGCAGAAATCTGACTTCTTTTGCTTAGAAAGAGCTTAAAAACAAGCAACCATCACCAATAGCTTACGAAGTAATAATTTCAAGCCAATTTCATGTTATGAGTACCACAGCCCATGTATCAATTACTTAGGGTTTGTCACTCCAACCACAAACCTCAGAGTGGAGTTAATTCTCTGTTACTTTGACATGGGTTTTGTAAGAGTTTAAAACTCACCGTCCAGGGTAATAGTAATCCACGTTCCTCCAGCGACACTGCCCTCTCGGGGCTTAATGAGCAATCCTGTGGCTGTCACTGCAAAAACAACCCAGCTACATCAGGCTGAAATGTAATGCAAATATCTAAAAAATCTCATTCAGGATGAGAGACAGTGGTCTGACAACTGTCGTCTTGTGATTCGACACTTCATCTCATTTCTCCTCCTCAGGCACCCAATTAGTTGTATTTCTCATCTTTTTTCCCCCAGCTGTCTCCCCTATGTCATAGTCCTGCTTCCCCTCAGGGGGGTTCTGATGCCCTCAGGACTTGGTGAACCAAGCTATAGTCTGAGCCTCCTGTCCTCCTCAAGAATTAAAATAAAGACAATAAACCTTGTGTTTATTCCTCCAGCTCTCAAAGAAATGTGTTTGCTGACTTCTGTATGCTCTCCCAAACTTAGGCCTGCCCACAAAATGTATCCTCTTCTGGCTCCAAGACAGCCTGTCCTGCTCCTTCTTGACAAAGTCCTTAGGAAAAAACACAAGCCTGGAAAGGAACTCTTGCTTCATGAAATTAAATCACCCATAACTTGCCATACAAGGCCTTTCATAAAGGCATCAAATTCTTAGGACGATTAAGGATTTACATTGGGGACCCTCATCCTCTGAAGCTAATAGAGACGAACCAGTGGCTGGTGGTTTTTTTTTTATTTTGTAGCCAAATATCAGAATTTTCCAGAAGTCTTTTTACAGTGATATCCAGCTTCCTGTTTAGCATTTCAGGAGATTTTCAACTTATTAGCTGCAGGTGAATGCAATCGCACTGAACACAAGTTTTCATCACTGAAGCCAAATATTGGACATACTTGCATCATGAACCCTTAATATCAACACGCAGACTGTGATATGACTATCATCAAGTGAATGAAAACCAACAGGCATGAGATGAACCCAGGTAGAACAGGGAAAATGAACAATGAATCCAGAAATCTCTACTAGCTATGGAAATAAGGCCATGAAAAGCCACTGATAAGGGTGGTCAATGTCCAGTATGCTGCAGTCAATATCCTATAATATTCAACACCTTTCAGAGATGCTTCTCCATGTCTTTCACTCACAGTCAGTCTGTATGCAGCCCAGTGGCACTGGATTTTGCTGGTGTTTTATGACCAGTATGGTTGGAGACAACACCTCTCTATCACCTACCTGCAAAGAATATCAGCTCAGCACTCAGAAAAGATGGTGCCCAAAGGTTCATCTTGGACTTTGGGTGGGGATTTCACAAGAGACTGACTCCAGGATCATGGCTTGGGGCTTAGCACTTTCCCTGTAATTTTAAAACAAACCCCATCTGTATTCTTTCTTCACATTGCAGACCTGCGGGAGCAATGGTCCGTGTTATAGCAAACAAGATTTACTGCAATGTGGAGTCACAGAGAAAAATGATTCATCTCTCACACAGTATATTGCAAACCGTACTCTTTTTCCTCCCACCCAAAAATCTACATAAACCATATGCTCCTTCAAGCAGATGACTTTCCAGCCAAGCTCAGGATGAGCTTCCCCCCACTGGGGCCACATTTCATAAGACTGACTCTGTTTAAGTGGTAGGCACAGGTGAATTAGTGAAAGCAATTACAGGGTTTAGAGCCAATGGTGTTAAACTCTCCTGGCTCTGCGCTGCTTTGTGCAGAATTGTTACATCTATTACATTGAACTAAACCATGCCATGGTCATTCTGGAGGTGAGACGACTTGCTTCAAAAGTGCACTCCTGGTCTAAAATGGACACTAAAGGAGATACTGTACAGCCTTGAAAGCACCTCTCCCTCCTTTAGGAGCGGGGACTTTTTTGCAAGATTAGAGTGGAATGCAATGCACCCATAGTGGGTGTTCAAGAAACCAAGTCTGCTGGTTGGTCCTCCAGGAAAGGCAAACTTTATAGCAAAACTGATTGTTTTTCACATGCTTCCTCCCCTGTTGCAGTTACCATAAACATGGTTTTAGGATCATCCAAATACCATCATGGTCATGAATTCTCAAAGAAAAAGCCTCCTCAGAGCTGCTGGGTAAGAGATACGCAGGGCTGCACAGTGAAAGAAGTATGGGTTAGCACCCTAGAAAAGATGCAACAGAAGACCAACACTCTCAGAGGTGAAAGTCGGGCAGAAGCTTTAGTTACCCCATAACTATGGCAAACACGTTGTCCCCATAAAGCCAACTTCTAAGCTTCTATTTCTTATTGTACCACAAGACCTACTGTAACTACTCTCCCTATATTTCTTGCACATTTTAACATAACTTCAATTTGTAGGGGTCAGAGTCCAGAGCCCTGATGCATGTGAACATTGCATTTCAAAGCAGGTGCATAAAAGTTCTTATAGATTTACTTTTATTATTCTTATTAGGACTTTTTCTGGTATTCCTTACCTTATTCGATTTGTTCTTCTTCCATTCCTCCGATGAGTGAAGTGCAGAGGCTCAGATACCAGCATTTCTCCATGCCTTTGATACCAGCCCTACTGCAATTTTCAGTCTGAGATGACGTTAGGCACTCAGTTCAGTCCCTGCATGGGTAACTGAGTCACGGTGTGCTGAAACCCACCAGACTAGTCTCTCAAAAGTCTCAATGCCTGTCACAGACAGCTCAGAGCTGTCCATTGGGCACATTTAATTATTAACTTAAGCTACTTGCTGATATTAACTGTTTTGTTCCAAGTCTTCAGTGACCATAAGGGAGTAACCTGGAATTGTTCTTCCATTGGTACATGACTAGATCCTCCAACAAGAGCACCATGAATCAATTTTATCCTCTCTTCCCCCCACATGACAGAAAAATTGATGGAATGGTTTCTTACTATGCTGATATCCAATCTGGGAGTGACTTTCACAGTAAGTGGACGTCAAGGTTTCCTTATATACTCTTAATTCAATTTTTCCACGGCATTCCCAACAGTGTCTGCATTTGGCAGGAATTCTGCCCAAAAGGTGTTCAGACCTCCTACCACATCTCAAGTACCTACACCCCTGCAGGTCCTTATACAGTCAGTGGTGGAAAAGAGTGAAGTGCCCTTACACAGTGTTATCATTCACTCCACGGAGAACCATGTGCCTTCACTGGCTGCAGGGAAGACCCAGCTCAGCCTAGATCACTTGCTGAATAGCTGTGTGAACATCACCCTTACTCCCACCTCTGCACCAATCTATTTGAAGCCCGGATGGTTCTTGATGGAGCCACCAGAAACATGATGGGTTGCTGAGCTCCTGCACTGGTATGGATGCCTTCATGGAAGTTTCCACTAAAATTCAGAGGAAGCTCTCAGACACCACAGCATAACTACAGTTTAATGAGTTACCATGCACCAGTCAAACAACACCAATATGTATGCATGCTCTTACCTCATCCCCAAAGCGGGGTAAAACAGGCTTGCTCGGTTTTCCTCAACCTCAATTCAGAGACACAGTGGCACAGAGTCACGGGCAATCAACCTTCAGGGAGTTTCTGGAGCTCTGCCCAGCAGTGGAACCAGTTGTGTTTGGTTTTTTCTTAGGCCAAGCTTCAATGTCTCAGCTGCATATAGCCAATGATTACAGGAACCCAATGAAAGTTAACCCTATCCTGCTCAGTAGCCTACACTCACTCAGTTTACTTATTAGCCAGAATTACACTGGAAACATGGTCAGAAGAGCAAACTTGAGGGAATTCTCAAAAAAAAAAAAAATATTGCCAAAGAAAAGAGAGTCCAAAGATGGTAACTTGAACACGGCAGACAGAGCCAGATGCTGGTAACAGGACTACCACAGACAGTCCTAAATGAGGAGATGGACAAGGTCCAGGGTCCCTCGAGGGAGCCCACTCAGGAGCAAGAGGGGCCTCATGGCTGGAGGGTCAACTACAACATGGGCCCATGATCCAGTTAGAAGGCAGGACTAGAGATGGGGCTAAAGATCAGTACTCCTACAGCATAACTCAGGTAGGGACTACAGGCCCAAATCTGAGGTTAAATAGGGCTCCTGACCCATGGGCAGGGTGTGGTTGGGGGTCCCAGGTGGGGCTGATCAAGGCCGTTAAGGCTTAATGCTGCCCTCAGGGCCCTGATATTTCTGCTCCTGACATACTCAGTCACTCAAACTCTCTAGATCATAGTGAGAAAAAAAATGAGTTATCACCTCTGTCATTCTGTGTAGCATTTTGTGATCCAATGCTAAGGAAATGCTTTATATAGGAAATTCTCAACAAAATGTCTGAGGTTTGCAGATCCAAAGGGTTTGACTGGGATGAGGAGTTTATTCTTTGCAAAAAGTCACAGATTAGGTAAGACACTGCATAGGGAACCATCCCTCTTGAAGGAGTTGAAATGTGTAAAAGAAAGAGGGAAGCTGGTAAAGAGCATTGTCCTTAATGACCAGAAACAGAGACTCATAATTCAGACCAGGAGAGGAATGGTCAAGTCACGCAGAGGTCTTGTTATATGAAGTGTAAATACTCTGCCGCTACAAGCTGATGACCATGTTTAGATATGATTACCTGCCAAAGAGGAAAGCAGTATAGTTTGATGAGAAAGTGCACATTTGTGTATGTTTTTTTCCTACTGAAGAGAAGTTCTGCTCAAAAACATCACCCCAGGCCATCTGGTTGTGTTTGTTTGCAGTTATTCATTTGGAGGCTGCAGATTTTAGGCGTATGAGTAGAAATAGCCTTATGGACAGGCTCAGCATCGGGAATCTGAGAAACATTCCCGAGTTGCAATCAGAAAGGACACAGAGAAAAGTAAGGAGGTGAGAGCAGTAGCTCTTCGTCGCTAGGTGGAAGCATGGAGCCGTTGAAGACCTGTCTGCCACTTGAAACACAACTGAAGGCCAGCCAAGCTCTCACTGCTGTGTCTGACACACGTCCAGGACAGGTTTCTGTTAACCCCCTGCACTTGAGGGAAAGGCCACGATCCAGCAGACAGAACACAGGAAAAAAAAGATGTGGCACCTGTTCCCAGCTCTCACTCGCTAAAGCATGATTTGGGCCAAAGAGCTTCATCTTCAAGTCACCTGCGTGTAAAATGGGGATGGTGGTGCGCTGCCCACGAGGCCTTTTGCAGGGCAGGTGCTCTCCAAGAGTAGCAGCATTTTCTGGAGGCAATAAGTTTCCACAGGACTTGCAGCATTTCTGGGATGGAAGAGCTTTGCAGGAGCCAAGCAAGGGCTCCCTTCACGCTCCCCCCCCCCCCCTCGGCCACCTCGCGAGAGGAATGTGGCAGTTGTTGAACACCACATGGCATTGCCCAGCTGAACAGCTGAGGGGAGGATAATGTGGGATAAGGCAAGGTTTAGCAATTTTGTCTGCAGCCGCTCGGGAGCTCCCCTCCTCCCTCCCAGCCCTGCTGGTTCATGCACCACCCCACACCGAGGGCACCAGGCTTTCCTGACTGCTCCTCACCAAAGCCAGACACCATCAGGAGGGAATGATGTGGGAATACTGCCTGCACTCACCATCCCCGCATCCACACCTGTAAACAGAGCATAAAACACGCCAGAGGAAAGTCAACCTAACAGGGGTCATGCTTGGACCAGCAGCACCGTGTTTCTCTTGGATGTGACTGTTGATAAGTAGCCGTCCTCCAGCACAAGTTGTGCCATGCTGGACACGTGTGCTGGACACACAGTGGGAAAAACCAACATCAAACCGCTGGAACTTAGGGAGCTGGTCCAGACACAGGTCTTTGAGAAAGGTCTGTGTTTTTCAGCTTGGCATTGTCAGTAGTTAGTGCCTTCTTCCAGTCCTTAACTATCATAGAATCATAAAATCACAGAATGCTTTGGGTTGGAAGAAACCTTTAGAGATCATCCAGCCTAACCCCCTGCAGTGAGCAGGGACAGCTTTAACCAGATCAGGTTGCTCAGAGC